CCTCTCCCCTGCACTACTCTCCAACAGTTTCGTACCCAACTTATACTGGTACCTGAGTTGTTCTTGCCCAGATGCAAGACTCTACACTTGCCCTTGTTAAACTGCATTAAATTTTTCCCCGCCCAAATCTCCAGCCTGTCTAGGTCTCGCTGAATGGAAGCACAGCCTTCTGGTGTGTCAGCCACTCCTCCCAGTTTCGTATCATCAGCAAACTTGCTGAGGGTGCACTCTATTCCCTCATCATGTTCATGGCCTGCAAAATGCACTTCCAGCTCATCTGAGGAGGATGATGGTAACTGGATTAAAACTTGAGAGCAGAAAAGGCCGAAGTACAGGTCTGCTAGTCCAAAACAGTGCTTTCTGCCTCGGAAAAAGAGATCCTGGGTGTCATCTGAGAGCTGACAGACTTCAAGCTCCGTAGGCAGAAACCTGGAAGCCCCTCAACGCTTGCAGGACTGTAAAACACGTTGCTTTGCAGGAGGGAGCCTTGCAGCTGGGAGCTCTGAGTACTCTGGCTAGCACACAGGCTCCCAGGGCTTTCCGAAACAGTATCGGGACAAAGCAGTTTTCAATCCTGGCAGTATCCAGATACCACCCATGTTGTTAAACTATCAACAGTCCCCAGATCCTGAAGCTCACCCATGGGGAGCCCAGGCAGCTGTGCCATGGGGACCTGTTCTTTTCTGAAAGCTCCTCAACATTGACTGTTTTTGTACAAATCTTTGTGGAAAGCCCTTCGCATAAGAATCTCTGACCAGCACTCTGAAATTATAACAAAGCTCCCCCAAGACAAACTGACAGGAGTATCACAAACGTTCACCTATTTAATGGGTCAAGTAGGAGAAATGGACAGAAAGACCCCAGGTCTATTAAGATTTCCAGAGAGGATGGCAAGCAGAAGAAGCTGCTACCACGGGACAGGTCCCGCCTATTAATGTGCAGCACACAGGCTGCGTGACTCACAGCAGGATGTAATACCAACTCCCACCCATTTCCTGCCCTAAGTTCCACGACACACTTCCCTACTGCATTGTCATAGATCACTTTTACATTTAGGTACCACTAGCCAAAACAAGAAGTCACTGCCTTCCCTTAATTCAGGTAAACAATCCTTGTACAACAAACCCATAAAAAATCTGTTGCAACAACACAAAGGTTATAAAGAACTAATATGTTATATGTATATATTTACAGTTTACTTCAAGAAGTGAAACAGAGAAACACTTTATAGCTATGTTCTTCTTGATCTTCCCTTTAGTTGGCTGAGAAAAAAAAAAAAGACTACTATCACTGGAGCCAAGCCAGAATACCTCAGACAGACTGCAACACTTCCAGCACTCAGTACAATTTAGGGATCAAGTACTCTCAGATACCAGAAGAGTAACTTTATACACTAGACAGTGAAAAGACAGAGAATGTAATTACAGGAACAGTAATCATTTTCTTACTACCTGTACTTAAAAATCCTTGCAGAAAGTAACTTAATGGTAGAGTTTCTCATACTCAACCAGAACAAAGACAAAAGAATAGTTCTTGGAGAAGAATAAATTGGGATTAAAAAAATAAGGTAAGTTCTTAAATAAAATCCCTCATGTTGGCAGACCAGCTTCTCTTTTCAAATAAATCTAGTTACAATCTGCTACATGCTACAGTCTTACATTTAAATTGAATTTTGTATTTCCCTAAATGTCTTTATTCCTTAAACAAGAGGGATGTTAACACCATGTACTACACATGCTAGTTAGGAGTGTGAAATGACTCTCCCTGAAACCTTTAATTAAATTAACCAAATCATAACAGAGTGGCATCAGGCTCTCAAGGAACTGCCTCTGGCTTCCTGATCAAAGGACACATTAAAGTTCAACAATAGAGAATCTCTCCCTCCAGCAGTGCTCTAAAAATAAATGCATTAGAGATCTTAACAAAAAGAAAAAAAAATAAAAATAAATCCAAGTGGCGCAACTATATGCACCAGTCTGTTGAATTCTGATGGACAGCACAAACCAGTTTGTTTACTGCTTATTTTGTGGCCCAGAACCACTTGGCTAATACATATACACCAAATGCTCAATTGCTTAAACCAGGATATTTAAAATGGCCTCAAGACAGATAAATCTGGATCTACTCATTTACACAAGCATGCTTTTTAACTCTCTTCCCAGCTATCGTGCATGACAAACCCTCCAGGATTGACAGTCTTCACAATAGTCTGTCTCTTCCAAATCAGATTAATATACTCACTGCTGTTACTGCCGCTCTGTAACTTCAGCTTGCTTTTTTCTTTGGCACTCCTGCTAAGAACACCATTCGGCTTTACTTCTTCTTCTGTATCACCCTTTTTTTTCTGCAAATCATTTTGTTTCTTTTTGTAAGTTGGCTTGGGCTGCCGTTTAGTCCTTTGCTCTGACTTGCTCTCGCTTTCATCAGAGTCTCCGCTTTCAGAGCCAGACTCGTAAGTTCGTTTTGCTTTTCTCCTAGGGTGCTTATCTTCCTTCACAAACTTATCTGCCAACATTTTACTATCTATGTTATTTTGCAAATCATTTGATGTAGAAGCTATTAAATTGACAGTACATGGCTTAATAATTTCTGAAACACTGTTCCCTGAATTCTCTTTTTTATTAGTGTTTTTATCTTCTTCCGAATGTCTTGTTAGCCAAGCCTTTTTCAGTTTAGTGTGGTAGTTTGGCTGACTGGTCTGGGAAGTTTGCCCACTGCCTACAGAGTTCGCTTTGTTTATTGTATTACAGACGATAGCACTGTCTACGGAGAGAGAGGTTGAAAATGTCTGATTTTTCACAGGGTTGGACTTGGTCTCACTGGTGTTACTACTTTTAAACTGAGCTGCAGCCAAGGCTGCCTTGTGCTTTTTCAAATGGACAAAGTTGCTGGAAGTGGAGAATCCCGAGCCAGGCTGAGCAGCACTGCCTGTCTTGCCAGCGGCGGGTGTAACCGGAGCTGGAGCACTGACCTTGCGTTCCTGGGTCTGCGCCACCACCTGACTCGCCGCTCTCGAGGCAGAACACTCCAGCGGCGCGCAGGCCAACACCGTGCTCGATAAGGAGTAAGTCACTTCAGAACTACCCCAGCTCGACACACTGGTAGTTGTTGCTGCTGAAGCGGTGACATCCGTTTTGGTACTGCAGATCGTAGCTGTGGAAGGGGTGACAGCACGAGGAACACTACCTTGCGAGACAGCTGGAAATTTCTTTTCATGCTGTGTGCGAGCACTGTCTGTGTTCATATTTGGCAGAATAACTCTTCCAGTCTCCCTGGCTTCCGCTGTTTTCAGGCAATCTGCTTGATTTGTCACAGCTGAAGATCTCTCGCTAACTCGATCTTTGGAAGCAGACTGCATTACTGGTATGCTATCATATTTCGTGCTAGAAGGACGCACAATAACAGATGCTGTAGCAGACTGCGACTTTCCACTCATTCTTTCAACATGCCAATCCACTTTTTCGTTATTTGGGACATTGCTGGATTTCCATATTTCTGATAAATTCTGTTCCGAAGTGCCCTTGTAGACAGTCTGAGCTTCCTTAGGTTCGGGTACTAAAGTTGGTGGTTTCTGCAACTCCTGTATTTTGCCACTGCCAGCATTAACGGGTTGAACAGGGGTAAGAGTCGGAGGTGAAAGGCTGCTATAGCTGCTTTCCTTCTTCTCCAGGTTCTGGTGCACAGGGGGGTGAAACACGGGGGCTCTATGCAAGGCAGGCATACTCCGGAGTGTATTGGAAGATGAGACTGACAACTGAGTAGGGCTCCTGCTGTCACTTCTGAAAGAATTTACAGAGTGAAATTGCACTGACTGTGAAAGCTGCTCAGGTATCTTGCTTGCAGAGCCTTCACTCTCTGGTTGGTGCTTGATTAAAGGTGGAGGTTTTGAAAGGGAAGAAATGTAAGAGGGGAGAGACTGGGGACTAGCTGCTGTCGAAGGACAATTAGTTTGCTTATCAACATATGCACTTGAAGCTTCCTTTGACGGGTATGATCTTGGTGGTTCATTTACTACACTGTTCGACAAGGTGGTGAAATAGTTACTCTGTGGCAAACTCTGTGGAACCGAATGCTTCATTTTATACAGTTCTGACACAGAGCGTTCAGCATCCTTGTCATATTTTACTGAATGGCTTTTGGGACTTGAAGATAAGGATGTTACCCTGGAATAGTTCTCTCTCTCTCCCTCCAGTGCCTTTATTTTAGCTGTAAAAGGAGCAACTTCAATACTTTCTTGGAGTATCCGTCTGTGTTCTTCTTTGTATTTGCTCAGTCGCTCCCCAGTCTCCTGTGGTGGCTTTGGCAGCTGGTTCAACATTGGATCTGCAAAATGTCTGTGCATATGGCTCTCCTTTGCTGACTGCATTCTGCTTTGCTCTAGCTCTGTCTTTACTGGTGTAGTTGTAACAGAACGCAAAGGTTCAATGAACGCTTTCCTCTCCAGTTCTCTGTTTGAAAAAGGTTAAGCAGACACAGGTTAGTCTGAATGCAGTGCAACGTGCTAAACGAAAGACCTTTCTTCCCATGCTCTGAACAAAGTTATCTATTAACACAAAATAAACTTTTCTTTATATTAGGTACAATTTTCAAAAGTCTTCAGGTGACTCAAGTACCATTCCAAGTCAACAGTGCAAAATCTGTTTTGCAGCACACTGACAAGCTTTTCTCTATCACAGGCACCCACATTTACAAATAAACTAAAAGGAAGCTAGAAGACAAGCTGTTGAAATGCACCTTCTCCCACAGAGTTAAACGGCAAACTTACTCTTTGTGATGCTCTATGATACTTTTGGACAATGGTGGGCTGGAATGCGTTGTCAGTTTGAGCGGCCGAAGGGGATCTGCACTAGATGGTCGCACAGGAATGTGACTCAGTAAACCAAGGCTGTCAGCTGAGGTCACGGGGGTGGGCTGGTGTAACCATGGGCTGGGAGTTTTCTGTTAACACCAACCAAAACAAAAAAAAAGAAAATCAGATTTCAAAATAATCACAGGACTACAAGTGTTACTGTATCTAGTCCTACAAATGATCAGCGTGGAACAACGTATTTCAGTATCTAATCATACACAGTAAATAAGATTTAATATTTTAAGTCACTTTTTGATCAACTGGAACATCTGATTGTACTTCCCCTGGCCAAAACAGTTTACACATTTCAGAAGCGTTCTTAGAACTGTTTAATTTTCAAGTATTCAGCATGAATAGTTAATTCTAGAATGCAACCTCAAGCTCATCAAAACTAGCAAACCAATGATACTCTGACAGCACTTAACTTCAGTTACCAGCAAACAGATCATTAGCTCTTTGGTGAACTGCAAGAAGTATTTCTTTCAAAAGACAAATATAGTTTAGTATTTCTGGAAAACAATTTCATCTCCAGCTTTATAATGAACCTTAATATAAGCAAAGTATCTCCTTCCTAGATGATTCCTCTCCTCCCCTCAACCAAATTATTAAGTACGATAATCCTAATTAATCTGCTTTATTTTGACAGGCATTTTTATTTGGCATAATTTCATCATAATTTAAGCACACTACTAAAACCATAAACGTACACACCTGCCATACTTTGCAGCATGGCAAACACACATTAATGGCAAACACACAGTACGCACAATTTTGTGCTGTGTACTTAATACTGAAAAGGTGGACAATACCAACCTCCTTGTTTACACACACTGTGATAGTCTCAATTTATGAAACTCTTTTAATTTGACTACTTGGGTAAGTTTCTTTTTTATATCTTCTCTGAAACTTGTGTAACAACTCGGCAGAAAAGACCAAGAGCAGCTCTCCTTTCCCTCTCTCCTTTGAGACCTGCTTACGAGAAACACACACAGAAGTGGAAATGCAGGACACCTCGATGAAGTGGTGCTGAAGTGCTAGGGCCAAGCCAAGAAGGGACTGGGACAAGAGTGAGCAGAGCTCTCAAGTGCACTTCAAAGCCTCTCGGTGCTGCTTCACCCCTAACTCCTGGCACTGCTCAGAACTTCTTCCCCTCTTCAGACCATCCTTTCCCTTCTCCCCTGTCTTGATAACCTCCAGTTCAGAACTGCTGCAGCAGAAGGGGAGCCACGTGCTCTCACAACACACACACGCAACACAGAAGAGATTTGCAGGTGCTACCACTTTGAAGTTCTGATTTCTGTACTTTGAATATTTAAAGCAACCACTTGGGTTTGTGCGAACAGTTTTAGCACACACATTTCCTAGGCCAGGAGTTCCCACGCTGTGGTGAGTTCCCACAAACTGCCTGTAAGCTGTATTAAAATATTATGCAAAAAAGGCCTGTCACCTTCTCCCTAGAGAAGCTAGGGAATATCTGCTTGAGCACCAACCATTGCCCAAACAGCTTTGTGACTCCACCTGCAACCATCTACAGCCCAGCCCAAAGACAGAAGCTGTCACAGCCACTTGCAGATGGCAGGAAAAGGTGGGCTTGGGGTCACGCTCCCTTCAGCACACAGACATGGCTCAGCCCTGAGCTGAGAGTGGCTTCTGGTGCTGCTACAGCAGAAACACAGACCCCATTCTGCAATCGCGGCATCCATGCAAACCAACTTTGGAAACGCCCACTCCGGGTTTCTAAGACATATTTAAAAAAGGCCTCCAGTGCAAGAGCCAGAAGACAAGTCACCACAAGACAACTGCCACATATCAACATAATTAAAAACCTACGTGCCTCTGTATGCAGGACTGCATAGTTCAGGCAGCCAAAGTGAAAACAGAGTCTATCGTAAGTTCTTTAAAATGGACTTCAGTATGGGGTGGAGCAGGCAGCAACATGAAAAGATAAATCCACCTATAGTTTTCTCTTAGGCTTTTCTTCTCTGCTGCATTTGATGTTATCACATTTTGGATCAAACTAACTTCATATTACAAGGCCAACTCAAACTGACTGTTTGGGAAGACTTAGCCACAATGGTTCGGCTTTTCTCAAGAATGAGGCTGGGGAAGAATAGCTTTCCCTATGCTGAAAAAGAAAAAAAATCTTTATAATCATTCAGGAACTCCAAGCTTTGACGCAAAGGCTTACAATCTGGCAGAAGGACCACTGTCAGCAACATGCCTTCTGTGGTCCTTGTGAAAATGTGCCCAAATTAGGCCAAGCTGTAAGCCTCTAAAAAACCAGTATGCACATGCTGCCAAACACTGCCACCACACTGGGCACTAGGCTGAAAAACACAAACCATTTCTTCTGAGACTTCAGTGGTTATACTCAGCACAGAGCCAGAGGAATCACCCTGACTTCAATCAGAGGAGTAGAAAGCAGATGGGAAGGCAGGGATGTGTGTCAACAGGAACAGAAGCGGAGAAAAAGATACGTCAAGAGAGAGTACACAGATAGGTGTAAAGACAAGAGAAATGGGTATACAGGAAAGATTTATAAATGCTAGAGTATTTCTCTTCAGAACTTCCCACTGGATTGAGTACTTCTTCCATCTCAGCCGTTCTCCATTATTTAGCAAGCATACACAAAATTCCACTATGAAGACAATTGTCCTTCCTCTCCTAGCATTTAATTTACACAATGGTTGTCATAGTTTGAGGTAGCAAATATTTACCCTGCGGACCTGAGGTTACAAACCAACTGGTTGAACTCACTTGGTCATGAACTAAAACCAAACATTTCTTCTTTCTTTAAAATACTTAGGAAATCAAGGCCTAGAAGAACTCCCTACTTGCTGTCCACCGTGAGACAGCAGTTACTACTGAATTTCCACTCCTAGTTCTCTGCCTAATCAAAAAACCCACGGTGGTCACTGCACACTTGGTGCAATACAAACTACAGAACCTGTACCTAGAAAACCACTGCTGGGAGACACCAGCCCCAGCTACATTCGCCATTAAGAAACAAGTTCAACTTACCCTTCTCAAGGAAGCTTCCGCATTAACAGGAGTTTCTGGATGGACCCATTTGGAGGAGGGCAGACCAAGTCCTGAGTAAGCATGTGTTCCGTTTGGATACTGCCAAATAATTGGATAAAGCCCTAGCTGATTATAGGAAGCAGAAGGATGAGCTTGTCCAAGAAGATGTGGAGACTGGTGTTGTAACATCTGTTGCTGCTGCTGGTGTGCTAATGCCAAATGGCTTAAGCTGCTAGCATGAGCAGTCTCTAGTCGCGGATGGCCACCCAGCAAGGAGGCAGCAGGCACTCCAGGTAACACTGCAGGAAGTAGATGAGGGTGATGAACAGAATGGTGGGATGTGGTACTAAGGGGGTGAGTGTTAATAGCGGACAAGGGAGCCTGAGCTGAAGACCCAGCTAGCAGATGGGATGAACCAGTTAATGCAGGATGATGAGCATTTGGATTTAAACAGGTTCGGTGGGATGAGGAATGCAGAGGATAATTATGCTGATGCAAATAAGGTGAAATGTGATTAGTTCCTGTTTCTTGTCCAATCAGAGTGGGGTCCCTGTACACCGCGAAATGTTCGTTCTTGTCAATGATAAGAGGACTTTTAGTAGCTTCTAGAGCGCTAACTCTAGCTGGAACTGGATGAAAACTAGACCTAGGCAAATCATGATCAGTTTTATTGGCTGACCTTGTTAATCCAGTAGCATGGCTGTTTTGGGAACTAACCTTAGACTTCACAGTATCAGAAGATTGGGTGAATTTAGGCTTAACATCAGGTGACTTTGTTTTAGGATGATCAACTGAAGCACTAGGTTTTGACTTCACAGAATCAGAGACTGGACTTTGTTTATGCAGTTTACTCTCTTCTGCTAGAGAAGCTACATTTAACGAAGACATAAATGAGCCATACTGCACTTTTTCTTTTTCAGGATTTAAGTGTTCATTTACTAATGTTTTTACAACCCCAGGTTGTATCAAATCTGCTTTGTTAACAACACTGCCACCACGACTTTGATCAGCTTCCTGTTTTCTTGCCTCAAGGAAATTTGCATTTGCAAACTGCTGTTTTAAATCGCTGCTGTGAGATTCTATTTTCTGAACCGTTTGCAAACCAAAGGTACTTGCAGCATTATCCTGGCTCTCCTTTTCAGAGCTGTTTTCATTAGTAATGTCAACAACACATTTCGGAGTAGGAGGTCTGGGTACAAATTGCTCATTTGTTAATTCCGCAGTATGATGTTTTTCTGCATTGCACTCTTGAACATGTGGATCCCTGGCATTCTGCTCATAAGGCGTTGGCTGCTCTGCTGAATGAAGTGACGATTTTTCTTGCTGATCTAAGACGGATGACTTCAGTCTTTCTGCCTCTTCGTGTTTTTTATCTTCCTGTATTTCATCCCATGGAGACTGCCTGTCTGTTAGTGTCTGTTCTACTCCCTCAATAGTTTGGGATTTTCCTTCTTCTCCATTTATATTTGAAGTGTTCTTGCTTTTTAACTCATTTTCCGAATTTTGCTCTGAGGACGAATCTGTTAACCTTTTATTTGAAATTTCTGAGTCACTGCTCTCAGAGTAATCTGAGATATTGTCTGTCCGCAGTCTCTTCATACTTAATTTTTTTTCATCCTCTTCAGGTTTTCTTCTTTTACTAAGGAAATGTTTATTTTTGGTTTTGGGGTTTTCTGTAAAAGATATCACATTCTCAGTCTAATACAGTTTTAAGCTCTCCCCCCCCACCCCTTCCAGTAACTGCTTTTACCTCCTCGACCTATATAATCATATCTTTCTTCTTTTATCTTCTCTTCATCTGGCATGCTGCTATCAGAGCCTTTCCTCTTATTTGGCCGAGTATTCCTCTGTTGCTGGTGCTGGTGAGCATTCTGTTTTGGTGCTGCGGTTTGGGAATTCATTGCTGGTCTGGGACTATTTGCTTGCGCACGTGTATAATGACCCTAAAAATAATGCTGTGATTAATGGACTTAAACGCAATTTTTAACCAGCAACTTTAAACATGTATTTTCAATACTCGCAATATACGAAAATACTTAGATAAAAAGATAAATGTATCTACGTGGACTGCGTTGCTGTTCTGGTTGGAACGAGACCGTCGGCGTGAAGTGATGCCAATATTTTCACCTTTCAACAAAGAGTGAACAACATCATCTAGAAAGGTCATCTGAACCATAGAAGGATCAACATTCTGAGGTTCTAACACCTGGCATATTAAAAAAAATATAAAAAAAAAAAAATCAGCAGATGTTCAGGCACTGCCCAATCTGTATTTTCTGTATCAGTGTTTACCAGACTATTTTGTGTGCTAAAGACTAATGAGATAAAAGCCTACTATAATCCTGACAAGCAGAACTGACATATGACTCTCAACAAAGGCTGGGAATAGGGTAAAACCAAAGCAAAGTCTTTACATATCACTGTAAAAACAAATAATTTTTTTAAAAAGGAAAAGCACCCCACCACCAAGCAGCAATTACAATATACAAGTATTTTGTAAACTGTATTTAATATACCACAAAGTATACTGCAGAAGCACATTACTATATTGCTTCCAACAGAAGCAAAACTGCTGGAAGAAAGGAACCAAAATGATGAGAGAAAAGAACTCTTAACACTGGTGAAGTGTTACTAGTGAGGGCTACTTCAGAAAGAAGGAAATGTTAACCAGAACTTTGATCACTGTGTCACAAAGCAAAAAAATTATATTTGAGGAAAATTAATCAGAGCAAATTAAGGGAAAGAACATATTTGTGCATTAGACCAGTCACATATGATTTTGTCAGCCATTTCAAGGCAGGCAGGTCATTCACCATATTGAGTCATTACTCTGCTCTCCTGAAACAGAATTCATTACTGCTGCTAAAAATACCAGTATTCATTCTTTTTGTAACATCAACTTCAGAAACATAACTGAAACCCACCACAGTAAATGTAAATTAGGGCTGCAGTAAATGCTTAATTCAATAAATCGCAGAAAGGGGATAATTCAATTGCTTGGAAGAAGTAATCGTTACTGCAGTGCTAAAACATTCCAGCATTGAGAAAAGAAAATCTCAACACAGCTGACAGGGAAGACCAGTTCTTAAAACTAGACTGCTTCACTTCAAAGACTTCACTAGTCAAATAGTGACAGCAGAAGAAAAGCAAAACTGTAGGACTGGCATTAATCATATCATTGCACAAAGGTTCAGCTTCAGGATGGTATTAACTGCTGGCCCAATGAAAAGTCATGCTGTAGGTTCAGTGCAGTAATAGACTTGTCCTGCCGGAACTGAAGAACTCGGCATATTTCAGAGTACCACACCAAAAAAAAATTAAAAATGAAAAAAAAAAAACAAAACTCCTAACATGTAGGTCACTTGAAGCTTATTTTCCGAGTATCACGTCTCGAACTCACCTGGTCATTCATAACAACCATAGTGCGGGTGAAGAGATCATGGTGGGTAATGATACCAGTGAACCACTGGGTGGCAGAATCCTGTCTGTACACTCTCACCCTGTAACCATTTAAGGAGTACGGACCTTTACAAGGGGAAGAAATAAAAAAGCCATTGAGGAATTCAGCAATGGAAAGTATAAATGGGTTTTCCTGGTTTTTTAAGCTTCATGGCAAACATAGAGCACATGGCATGGATAGCAAACTACAGGCAATTCTGGCACAACACTGCCTGTGAATTTTACTTTTATTCAGGAAGATATTTTGAAATGCAAATTGTACATTTAGGTATGCTTTAAGGTCAATTACGCTAAGATTTTCAACACACAATTTTCTTATCTAACTAAATCTTTCTGCAACCATGATGACAAATTATGAGAAAATTCCTGCCTACAAACAGCAACCATAGACAGGTAATCTGAAAGGCTAGAAAGTGGCAGCAGCAGGTTATACAGAAGCTATTTAACAGGCTAGTCACATGCCCAGATGCTTTGCTGGCAAAAAGATTTACATCTTGGTGGTTATGCTCTGCATCTGCCAAGTCTTTCCCATAATTGACCACAGAGTTTCTCTCCATTACAGCAGTCGGAAAGGCAGCTGAGTGATACTGTCCCTGCTACGGCCACACAGAACATTCAAAAACACACACACTATTATAAAGACTTTAGCTCCTGTGTTCAAATATATCAGCTGCAAACAAATCCTACCCAGTGCCCCTTTGCAAAGATCAGTTTAGTTCACCTTTAAAAGCTCATGGGGGTGGGGAGATAGTATAACACAGTAATTACTTTATAGTTGGTCTCAAGACCCAGAAGTTGAGATTCAACAAGATTTATTCATGTTCAGTGTCTCACTTGATCATCAGGATCCAGTTTCATTGCACTTGGTGTTTATATAGCGTTTTGTATGACCAAGCAATGCTGCCAGCACGTTCAGTTCCAACTGCGTGGGTTTCACTACTTCCACAACCAACCCCCAGGTCAGGCATACAGAAATGGAAGCAAAACCAGTCAGTGACAATCTACAAAAAGCCTAACATTAAGTGATTTAAGAGTGCCTGGTTGCTCTACCGCACAGGCAAGACCAGAATTCCCCCCTGCCCAGTACATGATGCAGCAAACAGGCCAGGAACCTCACAGGGGACAGCCTTCTCTAGTAAAAAATCCATATTCACACAGCTTGGTCCATTATACTCTCTGCACGAGAAAGTATGTGATCATAAGGACTGTTTTTAATTATAACATTTGAGAGCTGAAGAGAAGTGCAAAAGCAGTAATAATTCAGACATTTCCAAGTGGTCTTAGGGTTTAATTTTGGAGCCCTAGCAAGGCCTTTTGAAATACCTTTTGCATATGATTACCTAGGTTTTAAAACAGCCCGGGACTAGAAATACTATGCAATGGCACCTTTCTTTCACACACATCCACATAATTTGCTGCACAACTGAAACCTCAAAACCCACTGAACCCTCTGGAGTACTGGCATTAACTCATCCCCAGAGCACATTTCCAGCTGCACAGACGAGTCTCAAAGCGCACCAGCACAGGCACTGCCGATCACTGATATGTATGGGCAGAAAAAGAGAAGAATATATAAGCTTATGTCTCACATTCCTGGTCTTGGATCAGACGGGGTTCCCGTGGGGACACATTTCCTGAGGGCTTCTCTCCAATCCTTACTCCGTATGCCCCTGCAAAACGCCTCCAGCTCAGCTCCCACACTTCTGGCTGTCTGACCCAACCTCATTCTCCATGTCTCAAACTTTTAATGGCTGTCCCAAAGCTCTGCTTTGTTCAGACAGTCTCAGTAAAATTTTGCCTGTGTCTCTTCGTGCAAATCTCCCATCCTACCTTCCTATCTCAGCTCTCCCTCTCTTGCATCCTACTATCAACTGCACAATGATTTTCAGTCTCTTGTATAACCAGAACCAGCCTCTCCCCAGCTTCTTGTCTCATTTTAGCATTTATGATTCCAGGCGACTGGCTTCCTCTCAGTCTTCTCATCTCATCTCAGTCTTACTCTCCCAGTCTTCTCATCTTACAAGCTCCATCCTCCCTTCTCCATCAGCTTCTAGCTTCCCTTACATTCTTCTGCACTGACCCAGTGCCAATTTCTTTCCTTTTACTCCTTGTTCTAATCTGTGTCTGCCCTTCATCCCAGCTGTTATTCTATCTATTTTAAACGAGACTTTATCTACCTTTCAGAACAGTGGTGTTTTTTTCTTATGTGCTGCTGGGGTGTTGGGAAGAAGGAGAAACATTAAACTGCAGTCATACGACACAGGACAGCTCAGCTCCAGCCCAGCCCAGCCCAGCCACAAGCAGCCATTACAGGAAAAGCCTGGCTTTGTCTCCAGTCCCTGGCTGAATCACACTCAGCTACACACTGTTGAAACAGTCTATGCAGTACTATCAGGAAATATCTTCAGGGCTGAAGCACATTTAGTGTTTCAAGAGGATGATTACACACGCAGTCTCAGAGATCATAGTGATAACCAATCTAACAGGAAGAAAAAATTCCAAGATTTTAATTGTTAAAAAAAATCAGACACCTTACTATGTTCCTTGAACTAGTTTTATTTATTGCAAAAGCTTTCAGCTTGGCCAAGTTTGGGAGGAGTTTGATTTTTTTTAAACAAGGAATAAACTACTTTCCTGCCAAACCTACAATCTCTACTGCAAAGCATGCTGCTGTGACTGCTGCCCAAAGAAAAGGTCATGAGGGACAATTTTTTTCTTTAGTCTCATTCTTATAAATAATTGGTCCAGTTTTGACTAACACTCTCCCTCCTCAAATTGGTATGTTTCTTTTCAAACATTTGGAACCTGATTTTCATGTTTTTCTCTGACCTTCCTCTTTCTTCAGATAAACTGTGTTTTAATGGTGACAGTCAAAGTAGAAAACACCAAGAGATATGAGATGACAGCTTCAGCATCACAGACAACAAAGAAAAGGCCAGATCCTAAAAATGCTGTAGAGGATGAAAGAAGAGAATATGGTAACAACCTTAATAGATATGTCTAGACAAGGCAGAACTGAAAATGTTGCTTAAATTGCAGGGAATACAAAAAATGGTAATAACAGAGAAGGTGAAGAAAACCAGAGAAGGGAGGGGAGAAGAATGGAGGGGTAACATGACCACAATACAGCAGTTTAGCACTGCTAGAGGGCTCTCCGTAAGCCACAGAAAGCTTTGTGCCAAACGCAATCTCTGTAACCAGGAGAAGATTATGGCCCAGGAGAAGGAGACAGCAGTCTCTGTCAGCTGACCACTGCCCAGTGGATGACATGTCACCGACCAAGGAAACGTGTCTCTCCTCAGGCCACACTATGTCATGCCAGGAGATCAAGTGGATTTTAACTGCAGCTTCTCCTTCGCCAAGGAGAGCTAGCCTGCAAGGACGTTTGGATTACACTCATCTTGCCATCTAAAATACTCCTATTTGTGCACTTCTAAGTATCCAGACATCTGTTTGAGAAATTATATAAATATTGATGGGGCTTTGCTCAAGTACTGATTCTGTACCAGTGTAGAGTGGCTTTTACAATTGTCTTATTATTGTTATTCTAATGAAATACAATAAACAAGCTCAATTTTAGTTTCCTTTTCATACAGCCCTAAATTGATTTCACTTCACCTCAGTACAGTCTTGGCTGCAAATTTCATCAAGACTATTAACTCATGTTGTATCTGAGGATATCATGATAAAATCTGAAATGACCAGCACAGACATCCCAACTTACTATCTACACAATTACGTGCATTGCTTTTTTTCAGCATCCTTTCTCCGTGGCCCGGAAGAATAAACACGTCTAGTCAAATTAAAAACTCCACAGAAAGAAAGACAGAAGTTTTTAGTGTAACTTCAATATTATACTTACCATATTCTTTGGTCTTCTAATCCTAGTTTTATCAAAGAAACCAGACAGCAAGCAAACCTTAGAGGCATCCTTAAAATACCTGAATGTTTACTGCTCCCCTCCCCAGTCTTAATTTACAGAATGACTGCTTAGGCATTTTTGTCCTCAAACTGCTTTACTGCTTGCCTGGGGATTTTAAACCGAAACCACAGAAGCCAATTTCTGCCTCCCATTGCTAGGAATGCCTCTGTAGAGCTGCCCATCAGTTCTCCATAAAGTTAATGAATATCCTACAAATGCATGTAATGTTTTTATTATCAGCAAGATTGAGGCAAAATAACTTATTCTAATTCATATTAGTTTTCACATGACTTGTATCTACAATGTAAAAATGACGCATGTGTTTGCTGCAACCTTCCAGCATTAGAATTGAGTTACAAAATCATAACTGATTTGAAAGGCACTTTGAAATCAGGGAGTGAGGGTGCGGGGTGGGGATCTGAAAGTATTCTTCATCTGTGACAGAACTGCGAAGAACTACAAGCACAACACATAGCTGAGAAGTTATCATACGTAATGGTAACACAGACCACAGAACAGTTTTAAACATGCTAGAAGGTGTGTGGTTGCCATTCATAAACACTTATTTTCACAACAAATTTTATAAAATGTCTACAATCAGACTAATGATATCCAGCTTTTGCTGTAACCACTAAGACATCAAACAAGTTAAGAACAGTCTTAAGAAGTCATGCACAGCTTCTTACATAGTCTTGTTCTCTCATATTAACATATACTTCCATAAAGTAAGTTCCAAGCTAGAAATATATTCTGCATTGTATCACAAATGCTATGGGATGAGCCCCACACAACTAATGGCCTTAAACTAGCTAACACAGAATAAAAAATAAGTTTCCCAGATAATTACCTTGCATAAAAATCTCCTGAACCTTTTGTTCCTTTACCCAGGCTTTTACCTCCTCATGTAACTGCGGGTTATCCCTGAGAACTGGGTTTAGACTGTCTACGTCGTCCTAAAGTAGAGATTAAAAAAAGAACCATATGTTATGTTTATTTGTAACATTTATGTTTATTTTCCTAGATGTATTTTAGAGCACAATATTAAATAGTTTGATGCTAATTTTACTGATTGCCTACAGATCCCTGTGTTATTTTTAGAAAAAACTTAGAAGCGCAACATAGTGCTAGAAGTTATTTCATGGGAACGTGGCATGTCAGATCCCACATGTGGCCAGACTCGTAAGCTATTAATAGGATCACACTTTCATAAACACTGTCCTACTATAAGCTAAAATTGCCCTCTAAAGACCTCAAGGTTTACAGGTATGCATAAAGAATTGTTTAAATAATTATTTATTAAAAAAAAAAAAAAAAAAAAAACCGAAAAAAACCCCAAAACCTTTTTTCCGTATCTTAAAATTTAATATGGACATAGATGTAAAAACCACAAAGATCATGCATAAGAGACAGCTGTGTTTTAAGAGAAACAAACATTCTGAGAGAAACACCATTGCTGATTTTCAAATATGTAGGCCTTTGGTAATTAGGTAACTTCAAGTAAGACACGCTTTATTTTTTATTTGTAATATATTCAGTTCTCCTGAAGGAGATTCTTTTTCACTCTTTGAGTGGGAAATTAAGACATATTTGGTGGCACTGTCTTCTTAACAAGGAAAAACTAGTCATAAAATCTGGTTCGTATCCTTGAAAGGAAGGCTTAAATCATAATTCATCTCCGGATGCGAGTACCTATTTCTCTATATTTCAGAGCAAACTTGTTATTTCTGCCTTTGAGGCTGTGGCAGAGAAACAAAGCAGCCTAGCAACTCCTCCTGCAGAAGACAGCCTCAGAAATCTGTGAGCTGCAGGAACATTCATTTGTGCTGAAAGAACTTCAGACAGCTAAAATAATCAGAGCGCTTCTCCACATACAAAACGTAAAATGTTTATCAGTACTCCAGCTGAGATCAAGTAATCGCTTTCCTTGATCTCCAGCAAGTTCCTTGATGTTTCACAATTTTCTATGAAGAGCTCCAGCCACAGAACATAAAGATACAAGCCACACTCTGGGAATCGGGCATTGCTGCCAAGTGACATGAGCAATTTCTCTCTATTCATCTGAATTAGATTACTCCTGCTAACCCACTGATCACAGGATGTCTATTTGTCCTGGGTTAAACTGAGACAGAGTTAACTTTCTTCATAATAGCTAGCAAGAGGCTGTGTTTTGGATTTGTGCTCAGAAGAAAGCTGATAAAAAGTGATGTTTACGTGGCTGTCAAGGTCTTTCAGCTTCTCTGTCTGTCTGCAAACAGAAGAAGCTGGGAGGGAGCACAGCCCCAGTTACTAGCCCAGGATTTGATCTTAGGTTCAGGATTGAGACCCAGAGTGGCCAATAATCTATTCCATCACATACACGTCATGCCCAGTATGCAGGTGAGGACCCTCCGGAAGATCGTCCCTTTTGGTTCCGGATCTCTTTTGCTCTGGGTCATCTTGCTCCAGGTCGTCGCTCTCCCAAGGCCTTCCCCCTTCCCCCCCCCCGGTCAGCTCTGGGTCTGGGATGCTCAGACTGTTATCTCCATTCTGTGAGTGCGGTTTTGGGACCGTTAGCCGGGAACAGGCTGAGCCTTGGTCATCAGATGGGGGGGGAGGGGGAATGACGACGACAGTATCACTGTGTGTCACTCATTTGTATATACTATTATTTTCAATATTATTGTAGTTTAGTTATTAAGTTGTTCTTATCTCAACCCACGAGTCCTTTTTTCCCTTTATCCCCCCCTATGGGGGGGGGGAATTGCGTGAGTGGGTGTGTGGTTTGGCCCCCAGCCAAGGGCTAACCCATCACACTATTTCAAATTCAAAATTCACTTACTAACACTTGAAGATTTGCTGTGCTCCATTACGGAGAATGCATCCATGCTTCGGTTATTAGAGAAAATTACTCTCTCTCCTTATGCTTTTGAAAAGGATATGGCCTTGGATCCAAAAGGAATGGTCAAGATGATAATTTGAATACACATAAAGTGGAACAAAACAAAAGTGAAGGGGAAAATCAACAGGACCTCTACCACCAGGTTTAGAACACAAACCAGGCAAGTATGTGGCTTGCATCATCAAAGGCATGAGAGGGTCAACACTAAAATTTATTCAAGAATGACAGACTATCAAAACACTTCCTCTCCTTAAGCAACCTAAAAAGGGTATTAGCTGTTCTGCTTTCCTCGGCAAATCTGTTTTTGCATTGATTGCACATACAGAAGCAACACCACCACTGGAAAGAGGGAATGATTTGCCAGGGGAACCCAACACACCCTGGAACCATAGCTGTGTAACAATCATTCATCTGTTCTGCCTTCCCATTCACCCTCTTCACAGCAGCTGCAAAAGACTCTTGTACCAAAAATTTCCCCTCTCAGATCCACAAGCATTAGACCTAAGCAACGAGATGCTGCAATACTGGAAATCTGTCTGACTTTAAAATGCAGTTAATATGCAGATCTTCCACATTTTGAATAATTCCTTCAGTCCCATACAAGAGAATTTGTATCTTCGTTTCAAGACTATACACCTTGAGTACGTACCATGAAGTCAGACCTGTTACTCTTAACGTTATTCTATTTTGATGAGTTCTTTATGAGAAGTTTTTGAGTCTGTATGTCATCTTGAGACACTTTTGACTTGTTTCTAAAGGCAACACCCACTGCTGCTTTTCTTTTTTTAGATTTCATATCCTTCCTATCTTTGCCTTCTTTCAACTTGACACTGAAGATACAGGTGATCCCACTGACAGTACATTTGAACCTTTTTTATTCTATCTCCTATTCAAATGCCTGACGTATCAGTAACTTTGAGAATGCTTGGTGTGAACACCTAGAAAAGGAGACTGCAAAGTCCACTTTGTACTTCTTTCCTCACTCTTGGAAAAAGATGAGCTCATCTCAAAGATGAGCTACAAAAGACAGAAGTGAGGTCAAAGATCCATTACACGAACTGCACAAGGGTATGACTGAGATTATGTGGAGGATATCAAACGGAACCCAGTGTTTCTAAATACAAACAAAATGCATGTTTAACGTATCATCAATCACTGCAAAAAAAACCCCGTTTCACTTCTAGACATGAACATAATAGACATCAGTCAATGGAAATCAGTAGAGCAAAGCGAAATTGAACTGAAGATACTAAAGAAAGGTTCCTGAAATCTCAAAAATTCAGTCCTTTCGTGTACACATCACATGTATGTATGAAAAAATGTGTGTGCCATGACTGACCTTTTTCCACCATTGATCTTAAATCTGAACATCTAAAAACCACGCATACTGCGTTAAACTATAAGGTGATGGCCTTAAGCAGGTTGTTTTAGCACACATCACAAACTCTGTCAAGAACAGAGATGCAGGGCAAGAAGCAAGGCTGATGACTTGCAGCTTCTTCCCTGTCTTAGCACTGAAGACAAGCAGATGACTCCACAGTGCCCAGTCTTCTTCTTTACCCTGTATTTATACTGCTCAAGAAACAACTCCATCTACAGATTTGAACCTTGGCAATTACGACTTTCAGTTTTCTCCTCCTTCTTGGCTGAAGTAGCAACATTGAATGACTAACGCACAGAAGAATTAAATGCCCTGTAGGATTTTCCAGACTTTTTCTCATTTGGAAGTACTCACAAAAGTATGGTACCATCTCCTAGACTAGTTTTTCCACAAGTCCTGGAACACCTCTTCCAAGAGGATGTTAACCTTGATTTGAAATCCCTATGAAATGCAAAGCAGAATGCAAATCAAATAAATGGGACTGCAATTTTCTTCTTTAAATCTACTGTAGGAAGCTCTTCATGTGCCCTTTGTTCCACAAATGACTATATGCAACACTGGGAAGACAAAGAGCATATGGGCTAGAAAGATACGGTCAAGATAATCCTTCCTGCCCTTCTGGAAGACAGTCACATGAAGTAATGTGACTATCAGAAGCTTGCTAATATATGTCAGATTTTTTACATCTTTGCTGCTATTCTTCCTTCTTTCCAGAGCAAAAGAGGAATTCACTTTTGGTAGAGTCGACTTTCTGCTTAATTATGCACAGTTGGCTGCACATCTCTCTAGGTCAGAATTCTCACCGGCTGCGGACATACTCAACTTGTCCCAAAAAGAGCAAAGAATTAATTTTTCCCAAGTAGTGAAGTCATCCAGTGTTTTCCTGAGTGTATTTGTTCTTCTGGTGCAAAATGATAGAGCATATTGGAAACTATAGACCATACCATCAGGTTAAGGTAACACACTAACCAGAAAGTAGAAATCTTCATTCAGAGAAGCCTTTTCAGAGAGCTTATTCAGGCAAACATGATTTGATTTAATGATTCAAAGGCACAGGTGAACAAGTGCAGATCACTTATAATGCTTCTATATTCCTTTAAGCCATAAATCAAACAAATTTCAAAGACTGTACCCACAGAAAACCAAGTCAAAATCCAAATACATACAGAATTCTCCTATTCAAACCTCATGCACAAACAAAATATTGTCCAAGATACTGAGAGGCACCCTTGGATGAGCTGAACCTGCCATGCAAAGACCCTTCAAAGTGCCTTCTGAAAGGCTCAAATGACCACAAGCTCCTTTCCTGTTTTGGGCAGCTGGGCACAACTGTGGTGGGAACACCTTGCACATTTCCACAGCTCTCTACTTTTCCAACAAGACTTGCACTACTGAAGCAAGATGTTTCCTCAGCACTTCAATATACTTCTCCCAAGTCATTCTTCATAAACTTGAGGGGCAGAAACAAGTTCATTAAATCGAGATGCAACCACACAGCACAAAACAACAACAAAAAAGTGGAGTCAAGTAGCCGCCACTACCCCCAATCACACAGCTTGCATGCTGCTTATAGGAGGGTATAGAAACTCCAGGCAGCTGTCAACTCTCCAGCTGCAGTGAAGGAGAAGAGGAAAACTGACTATGCATTCCAGGAAAACCAGTCCTGGAAAAAAGAGGCTTTTGGCACGGGAAAG